GCCACTGTAACAACAAATACTGAAAATGAGAATATAAAATATTTAAGTGGAACTCCCATACAACAGACATAATTTTTTTTGCCGTTTTTATGGTTAATGGGACGGAACCCTTTGTGCGCGAGTCCGATTCGCACTTGGGCGTTTTTTTTTTATATATAATAGTACGGAACCCTTTGTCCGCGAGTCCGACTCGCACTTGGCCGGTTTTTTATTTTAATGTTACACTTTGAGAACAAAAAAGTAAATTTATGCCTTTTTAACGCCGGTACTTTAAAGGACGAATGAGTTATACGTTTAAACAAATGTAATTGTATTTATAAATGAAACTATACCGTAACATTTTAAACGGGAGACAGTGTTTATAAACATTTCGTCCGAAATGCCAAAACTTTCATCTATTAAAAGCCTCTCTAGCTGCTGCGATTTATTCCGTCACTATGAAAATATAACGCCGTGACTGGAGGGGTATTCTAGGATTAAAACGTTCAAATTCTAAGCGGAGTCGTGCCATTTTCCAACAAAACAACTGGCAAGTCGAATCTGGCTCAATTTATAGGCAGTGGTGAAAATGGCAAAGTGAATGCTTAATTTCTTTAATTTCACTAGCCGGCTTTGCTCGAGATAATATGGTAAAAGTTTTAAATGTAGTGTAGGCTTAGCGGCTTTTCCGAAATTTAAAATAATGACTTCTATTCGTTCGGTGTTGCCAGTGGCTGTAAACGCTAGGTGCTAATTTAATAAATAATAAAGGTTGAGGGCGGATAAATCTATTAATTTTCATATTTTATTACATTTCGAGAGTACAACAATGTTGATTTAAAATAAATTACAAAAACCTTTTTAATATTGAACTGTGTAAGTTACATACCAAAATCTTTGTAAATGATAAATGATATCATCGTTTTAATCTAAAATTATTTAATGTATGTTTCGAAAAGAACTGTTTTATAGATAGCATTGGTCTTTAATAGGTATAATAGTAGTTGTAAAAAGGGTACTACGTATTATCGCCAACATTAAATGAGCCTACCTTGAAGCCAAGCTTTAAATTCTAAAAAAAAAATTAGTTTTTTTTTTTTGGGCTTGATGAGCCACTGTTGGCCTTAGGGGCCTTTACAGATCCAACGGACTTGAGGTGGTCGGGCGCTCGAGGCGCCTAGCCTGAACCTCGCGTATTTATTATTACGCGTTATGGTGACTAAGCTCGAGGGCTCCCGAAGGAACCTCGGCTCGGGCCGTCACGCTATTTAATTCACCGGTTTGGGAGGCCGCTTAGCTCTTTAGGGCGCTTTGGCGGGGGCTCCATGGAGTGATCAGGCTCAAGGGTCCCCGAGAGGGGACCTCGGCTTGGGCTGTCACTCAACACGCGTTTAGCATTCCGATTCGAGGGTGCCCGAGAGGGCCGGACCTCGGCTCGATCGGTAGCTGTTATCTGACTGGGGGGATCTCTAGAGCTATCGTTACTATCGCTTCGTAAAGCGTTGGCGCTGGGAGAAGAAGTGGCGGAAGAAACTCCAGCAACGCTTCTATCATTAATAGGGGAAAACCTGCCAGGTACGTGGCGGAACCTAGTATATGTTTGCCGCACTCGCCGGCGAGTGCGGTTTGTGTTGGTGTGTTTGCGAAGTTTTTTAATCCTTTCGATGACGATAGTCGTCTCATCGTCAGGGAAATCGAGAACGTGTCGCGGTCTACGGTGATTGCGGTGGAACGTACCTAGCGGCAGGGGTCTGTAGGTGGCGGCACCTACGATTACCGGGTTGGGATGCGCAGCGGCGGAATCGAAGTATCGGCGCGACGCTGACTTCAGGAATTGAGCGATGGTGGGCAACTCTAAATCGACGTGAAGGTCGATATTGCGCATGTACCAGGGTGCTCCCGTGGCTCTGCGCAAAACTCGATTTTGGATGACCTGAAGCCGGTGTATTTGCTTCGGAGCAATGTGTGCGAAAACTGGACTCGCGTACGTCATGATAGGGCGAATTACTGCCTTATATAGAGTCACCTTGTTCCGAAGGGACATTTTAGACGTTTTGTTGAGGAGCGGATGGAGGCGACCGAGTACGAAGGCCGCCCGGTTCTTGACCCGAGTCACGTGCTGGTTGAATCTAAGTTGGGAGTCAAGGACGACACCTAAATATTTAACTTTGTTCACCCATGGTACCGGACTATCCATGAGTTTAACGGGGGGTGGTTTATCTACGTTTTTATGCGAAAAAAGGACGGCCGCGCTCTTGGCGGGATTGATTTCGATCCTCCATTGCCGAAACCAGTCACCGATGGTGATGGCTGCAGCTTGGAGGCGTCGATGGATAATTTCGGATGTTCTGCCTGCTGTATAGAGACAGGTGTCGTCGGCAAATAGGGCAAGTTCTACATCTTTGACTCGCGGCATGTCATTGGTGTAGAGCGTAAAAAGGACTGGGCCCAACACCGACCCTTGAGGCACCCCGGCTCGAACGGGATGCGTTGTCGAACACACGCCTTCGACGCGATAGCGAAAGGTCCGATTACTTAGGAAGTCTCGTATTATGCATACGAGACGATCGGGCACTCCGAACCCGTATAACTTGTATACGAGCCCGTTGTGCCAGACTTTATCGAAGGCCTTTGCCACGTCCAAGAAAAGTGCTCCGGTGTTGAGTCCGCGTTGGCGTTTGACTAGTATGTGCTCCGTGATGCCGTGCACTTGATGGGTACAAGAATGTTTGGCTCTAAAGCCAAACTGTTCAGGGATGGGGAGCCCTTTGGCGTCCATAAGGGATCTTAGTCGGGCTAATATTAGTCTTTCAAAGATCTTCCCAAATGTTTTGAGAAGACTTATTGGACGATAAGAGGTTGGGAGGGTCGCGGGTTTGTGAGGTTTGAGGAACCCTATTACGTCAGCTTCTTTCCACTCGGACGGGAAGAAGCCTTCGCCGGTTCGACCGGTTATAGCCGCGTTGTAAATTAAGACTTGTATCTGAAGGATGCTAGTAGGGAGAAGTTTGGTCACCTTATTGGTGATACCATCTGAGCCAGGCGCTTTGCGTGGGCGCAGTTTGTTAATTGTTTCTGCGAGTTCCGAGCACGTGACCGGGGGAATGGGATCGCGGAGTGGTTCCGATGCTTTCCTTTCGACCTCTTCGTTCACCTTACGGAGGTGATCGGGGTGGGTCGGAAGCAAGCTGGGGGAGCATTGGGCCTCTAGACTGTCAGCTAGGCATTCGGCTTTCTCTTCGTCCAGCATTGCTGGCGTTCCTATCGGGCGAACTAGTGGTGGCATGTTTGGAGTGGCAATACCCTTGAGGGATTTGGGAAGTTTCCAGAAGGCTTGGTGGGACGGTTTTATTGAGACTAGGGTGGAGTCCCACCGTTCGTTTCTTGAGTCTGCTATACGTGTTTTGACTTCACGTTGCAATTTACGTAGCAGTCTACGATTCGAGTCGGTGGGATATCTATCGTAGGCGCGTGTGGCCGCATTCTTGCGCCTCAGTAAGTCTTGTACATCGTCTGGCAAGGCCCAGCGATGGTCGTCCATCGCTGGAACCTGTCTCGAGCATTGCTCGACGACGGTGTTGATGTGAGTCGTGAGGGCCCGAATTGCGGTCTCCGTGTCCTGTTTGTTGTTGAGTTGGCCGGGGATCGACTCTAATATTGGATTGGGCTCATTAAGTTTAGTTTTGACTCTATGGCAGCTAATGACTGTTTTGGTTTGGGGGGCGGCTATTGCTGAGGGCCCTAGCCGAAGGAGGACTGGTCGGTGATCAGAGTGAAGCTCGTGAATCACTTCCGGGTCGCGCATGGTCAGATTGATGTTTTTGACGACTGCAATATCAAGCACATCCGATAATTGTCCCTCTATATAAGGGAAGTGCGTATGTTCGACTGGGGCTACAACTTCAAAGTCGAGCCTGTCAGATAGCGAGTCGAGTGCGGTGCCTCGACTGTTGGTGCGTGTCGAGTTCCATCGGATATGAAAAATGTAGTTAGGACGTTGAGAATTTCATCGGTTTGGCGATCAGCCGTTTAGCTAAGTGGTTAAAGCGTATGGGCGCAAATTCGGGTTCGATTCCCCAGCTGCGAGAAACTTTTCGTTCTTTTTTCTACAAAATTTAATTAAATAAGCATTCTAAAGAACGAGTCGAGCTATATTTTTTTGATTACATAAAAAACATTTACTGACAATAATTTCCCTGAAAAGTGAATAAGTAGTTTAGTCTTACAACTTTTAAAGTCAAACATTTGAAACACTTCTTTTATAAATCTCATAAAAAATTCTTACAATTTGTTAACACAAATATTGAAAATTCCAAGTAATCCGTAATATACAGGAACAAAGTACAAAGTAATCTGATAGCGAAATTTTGAATACAACTACTTCAACATATGAGTTATTTGTTGAATTACACATTATGAAAACTTATTTTTGGAAAGAAATGGATTGAATATTGTGTCGATATCCATATGGCCCGTTTTCAACGTGCATTTACTTATATTTGATACATGGACTTTCGGTATGACATAAGCGAATGTTCGTACGATCCCGTACTTGGATAGTAGAATATAAATGGAAACGAAATTAAATCGTTTTTGCTTTCTAAACAAATATTTAATTAATTTTCTGTAATTAAGGTGAACAAGTTAGAAAAAAAATAAAAGATTACAGAGATTAAACAATTAGAAGAACTTACTGTTACTGGCTTCAGTGGGTCTGCAGCCAGAATCAGCGTGATAGGCCAGGTAAGTGATCCGGGTCCCCTGAATATTGATACAATAAAAGGCGGCACACGATTTTTGCACTGTATTTTATGCTGTGTTATCATGTGCACTATCTCTCTGTGAAATGAAATACTGTCTGAAATAGTAGTCTCCGCAATGGCATATAATATATATCCGCAATAAGAACTTGCCTCAAGTGATGCAATTAGTTAAGTGTGCCACGTTATTGGACCCATGGAGCTTTGCTTTATGTCTGCGAGAAGTAAATAAAAATAACGCTTAGGGAAAACGGTAAGAGGATGCAAACGGCACAGGAAAAGAAGCCGGAATCGTTGACGGAAAACGAGTAAATATAAATGGCAAAATGGAAACTCACAAATGGATGACAAAAATGGATTTTATTTTTAATACTTAGTTTTGTTATTTTTGGTACTAACCTATTAAGAAATTCTGCCCTCATACCATACTTGGGAGTCCATCACCGTTTTATGAAAGTCCACATTCAAACCTATATTTTAAATGGTGACGATGGAATGGATAAATAATAATGATAATTGAAAGACAATCTTACTCTGACCAATGTTATTTAAATAAACTAGTAACCTTATCGTTTTTAGTGCACAATCGTACTAATTAATCATTTGCTATATCAGTTCTTTATCTTCCTTACTCGATTTAAGCTGCATCTGTATTTGTATTTTGTGTGGTATAAGTTGGAGCAGTAAGTTCCAATGACCACTGCGACCTAGAAGATCTATTGTAGTCTTCCCTTCGTAAATATTGCCTTCTTACTGTAGGATAACATTATCCTGAATTTTAAGGACGTTTTACATTTATAAATATCACGTGGATAAACACCCAGATCTGGAATAATAACGTTGGTCTCACAAATAGTCGTCTCGTGTGGGAATCGAACCCATGACCCCAGCGCGCCGAAGCCAATACCTTGGCAACTGCAACACGGGAAAAAAAAATTACAATAGGAACTGTGTACATTTTATCTAACTGTCTAATCTATTAACATATGCAGTAATTTTTGAATAAAGTGAGTTTACTTTTATGAATTAAAACGCTCGTAATAATTCTTTTTTTTGTGAAAATCAGTAGAAAAATTTCTCACAAAATATCATAATTAACATTATCATTATACCAACTGAGCATATATTTCCATTGATAGAATATAACATCAAACATGTTACTGGTTTTTCCCACGAGAGCGCATCTCCAGTTTCTTCTCTCACCGGATCGCAATAGTTTTTATTTTTACTAAAAGACTTTTATACAGATATATAAGAATAATTTTACTTTACTAAAATATATAAACTGTAACGTAGTACATATTATTAACTTTACTATATGTTTGATTACTGCGTTTGGGCAAGTTACTTGCGAAGAAGTTGGAAAAGTAGACATACGTCAGCAAGACGTGTTTTCTTTTCCCTTGCCTAGTCCCTTAAGCATCATAGACTGGAGCCATGTTAGATCATTTTAAATCAAAATATCAAATACAATATTATTGCAATTCTTTATTTCGATCCGGTGCATAGCTAATAGGTTTGCAATTTTTTAAATAGCTATAAAAGTTTTTGTGAAGAAAGCAGTATTTATGATTTTTGATTATTCAGCGGTGAGCGTAATGTATGAAATTTTATTTGCAATCTTGTCAATGCAAAATTTCACGGGCAGTTTTATTATCCGAACCGCTGTAAAAAGACTGTTAAAGGTAACGAGTTAAAACATTTGAAAGTTCGTTTGTTTAAGAAATGGATGAACGTAACACATTCTAATTAAATAAAGTTGGTGTGGTAATATACCCAACTCTTAATTAAAATAATTTTGGCACAGCTACGTTTTGATGAAGATAGTAAAAACGAACTCAATCAGTTTAACAGATTTAAGTAATCCCTATTTGTAGGGTTCCGTACCCAAAGGGTAAGTATTGCTAAGACTTCGCTATCTATATGTCTGTCTGTCCGTCTGTCACCAGGCTGTTTCTCATGAACCGTGATAGTTAGACAGTTGAAATTATCACAGATGATTTATTTCTGTTGCCGCTATAACAACAAGTACAAAAAAAATTTAAAAAACAATATTTAAGTGTTGCTCCCATACAACAGACATGATTTTTTGCCGATTTTGTATATGTTATGGTACGGAATCCTTCATGCGCAAGTCCGACTCGCACTTGAACGGTTTTTTATCATTTCATTCATTATCAAGAAATAAGATCGAATCAAGAAACATAGATTAACAAACGTGTCAATTTAAACTATTTGAAGCGTGTAAACGTGAAACGTCTACGCCAAACTTCCTAGACAGAATGGTATTGCCAATTTTCTCACGTCGTTGAACAGCTTGTTAATAGACAAAATGTGTTCGTGCAAGCGAGAATAAGAGACAGTGAATGTGCTTTGAATAAAAAAAAGAAAAAAAAGCTGTAATCTCGTATTAGCTTCAAAGAATAAAATAAAAATAAAACATTAAAAAGCCTTTTTATTTCATGCGATTGTTACATTATTTAACATTGAGTTTCTTATTAGTAGTAGTTAGTTATTATTTTTTTTAAATAAAAGTATATAAAAAGTTATTAACAATTGTAAATTTTTGATATATAAATTAAATACTTTTATTGCGTGCATGAACCCTCTTTAGATGGAGGTCTCCTCCAACGATTTCCACTTTTCTCTATGTTTAGCAGTTTTTATATAGTTTTTATATTAGCTTCAAATAAAAACTCATAATCTTTCTGCTCTTATCCCACCTAGGTGGGGTCGGCGACCGAACCAACCAAGTGAAGCATGTTGTAAGCAGTTTTGGGTATGTTTTTACGACCAGCCACCTGCCTTACGTCAACTCTTCTTGGGAAACAAACCCTAAGATCCGAAAAAAATTTCAAATGTTAATTGTTCATACAACTACAAATATTTTACATATAACATGTCAATTGTATCGTATTGTATTAACGAAAAACAAAACCTCAGAAGTTCCCTTGGTATCTCCGTAGCCCAAGATCCAATACCAATGAAATTAATATCTCTTCTCAATTACATCTCGCGGACGAGCCGATTTCATATCGATAAGTAATCATTCGATATAATTTCGATAATGATTTTATTCCCTGCAACAGTTAATTTATCTATGCACACTCTGTACGTTTTCCACATAAAAATGTGACAGTTGGAAATATTACCTTGCACAAGTAGTTGGCCGCACTCTTCAACGACCGGGGAAGTTTTATGGGCAATTGAAACTTCCTGGAAGATGGATAAACAAATTCGCTATCCGCAATAACCGCACTAAATATTTCACCAGCGAAGGAGTTTGGGAATTTATCAAGGGCCGAAGTTACGAAAGCAATATACATAAAATAACGACAGAAATCACTCTGCAGAGGAGATAGATATGCAGCAATGTACTTTGAAGGGAAGTGAATTGATCGATATGAAGAAATACAAGCCGTGCAAAAGCATTGCACGGCTGAGTGTAGGCGATATATATTTTTCAGCATCAGTACATTTCAAAACGAATAGTTATGTGATTAGTGACTGTGTCTGTGTTTTAAAGACATGAACCTTATTATATTAAGAAAATATAATTGAATTAATAATTTATTAATAAATTAATAAAATTGTACTAATTAATACGTGTGATTGGAGACTGCTACGTAGTTTGCTCGCTACTAAATTTGCTTTGTCATACGAAACCCTTGTAGATTAGTAACATACTAATTATTTTTTAAGAAGGAGAGAAGCATGCCGAGCGTGCACTTGATCACAAACTGTCATCGCCGCTTAACGACATTCTTAATTAAAAATGGCACCGAGCTGTCAGACAGTTAGTTACTTACGATAAAATTAGATTAAATCTTAAAATCGATCAGTAATTTTAGCATGGAGGTATGGGAGATTGAGAGAGATAGCTTATCAAAAACTGACCTACCTGAAATTCTCTCTCTAAAACCTTGCTAGCTCTTAGACTAATGTAACATACATATATCTCAATTCGTTCGGTATCCTAAACTAAGCTTGTTGACCTACTTGCGTTTTCGTCAATCATCGGACGCGAAACTCAAATATCAAAGGTACGATTTGTTTGTTATGACCCTTTCATTTCACAAGAAATCTCAAAAGAAGAATGAAATACATAGGTATATGCTGTACGATCAATCGTAGCGATTGTTATATTTCATAGATTTCTATTTATGCGTGTATCAATAATAGTCCAATATGATGTAGCAAATTATCTTTGCTTGTTGAGTTGTTAAAATAAAGGAACCATTAAATAGTATCGCAATGTAAACTGTAGCTTCCTACAAATAAAAATAAAACCTTTAAATTTGAGTATGGAAAAAATGAACAGTCTTTGCTGTTGAACGAACTCCGCTATAACAAATTATTTATGAACGAAACTTCACAAAACATGTAACGTGACAAGATATGCCGGAATATTTATATCTTTATACTAGTGAAAACTAGTGTGAATTATGAAATGAATCCTTTATATTTATTGAAATTATGTGAGTTTCCTTCTAGATGTGAGTATTTGCATCTTAACTCAAAAGAAAAAGATATGTAATTAAAAGTTCTAAGATTTCTCCGTAAGGGATTCTCGTTTTCGGATTTTTGACATTAATTTTTTTTTTATATAAAAGACACGTAATTGTCAAAGTGTAAGATTTTATATGTTTGGTATATTCTCTGCACTCAAGATTAAACTTTAAATCATAATTTTGGTAGATAAATGAATAAACATTTTGGCATTCCGGGATTCAAAGCAACCAAGTGCTAAAAGTAAAAGTTATCCCGAAAATTTTAAGAGCAAAGGCGACACCTCTCGTTGTAAATGTTCATCGTTGAATGTTCTGACGCAGGTTCGAATACCGTAGCGCTGAAAGTTTTTTTAATAATGTATCCACAAAAATGCACAATTTGTCAGCTTTCTTATTCATTCCGTATTCATGAAAAATTGCAATTATTATGTATGTTCGTGCGGTTTTAAGAATAAACGTTGCTTACAATTTTTTTCAAACTGACTTGAGAATACATGATGCTTGAAGATAATTTTTCAAACATTTTCGTACTAGAAAGTACGCATTTGTGTTGTCTGTTGTAATCTTACGCAAGTTACGGGCGCACTAATCCCATGATACGGCTGTTCCGAGTCAGTGAATAGATAAGTTAAATTAAGGTAATGCTGGACTTAAATAAGGGTTAAATAACCGTATCAATTTTGTGGATTAAACGTGGATTCACGTGTAACATATTTTACCAACAAAGTAGTTTTTGCGCGGCGGCGAGTAAGAGAATTAATATAATTAATTATATTAATTAATGAATTAATTAATATAATTGGATGTTGCTGTATCACCACGGAAAACTAGCATTATTATCGTCAGTAATTAATTTTGTTAGCCTGCGTGTTAATAATATAAATAAGAAGAACAAAATGTTGTTTCGAAAATTAAACGTTTCAACAAAAAGTTTTTCCGGTACAGGGAATCGAACCCGAGCCTCCTGGGTGAGAGCCATGTATCCTAGCCACTAGACCATACCGGATGGTGTTTAAACCATGAAATCGGCTTTCACATTACAACAGAACACGATAATATTTTTGCTAGATAAACTTTTAGCGAATGAGGAACGGATTTGATACAAAAAAATAATAATAATGTACCGTTTTTGACCGATTTTTTAAAATATTTTTCTGATGTCAAGCGTTGGCAAGCAAGAAGGCTCCTCATTTAAATTGATTAACGCCATCCATGTACATCTATAATCTTTGAGAGGCAGAAGATTCGTTGTAAGCCTTTTAAAAAAGTAGGGCACCGATTACCCCACTCACTGAATAATACTCACGATTTACGCTGGTGTTCGGAGAGGCGTAGTTCTTCCCGGGACGAGCTATTCAAACAAAAAAAAAAAACATAGCATAATAAAATCTGATTTAATTAAACCGAATAAACGGCGCTGACTTATAATTTACAGCAACGATACGTTGACGCAATACTTAAATAAATTATAGCAAAAAAAAATAGGCCAAGTGCGAGTCGGACGCGCGCACGTAGGGTTCCTTACCATTATTTATAAAAATGGAAAAAAATCATGTCTACTGTATGGGAGCCCAACTTAATATGTTTTTAGTATTTTTTGTTATGGTGGCAACAAAAATACATCATCTGTGAAAATTTCAACTGTCCACCTTTTCTACTACGTAAATATTACCTTAACAAACGTTAAATAAACAGTAAATAAAAACGCTCAACAAATTGTGCCAATCGGTTTTTCCGCTTTGCTGGAGTTAAAATATTATAAAAATATTGAAATCGCTTCATATGCGTTTTTAAAAATTGAACGCAACCAAGATATTTCATTACACAGTCAAGCACCACCGAGAATGTCATCTTTTGGGACATTACACAATGTCTGAAGGCGCACTAAACCAAAGACCCGATTGTTCCGAGTCAGGGAGTATGACATAATAAGTTAATTTAAGGTGCCGCAGTAGTTTAACGGGACTTACGTCCGTTTAATTTTGTGAGTTAGTCGTGAATTCAGATGTACTTTAAGCAATCCTACTCTAATCTGCGTACTTATGAGTAATATTCATTAAACATGTTTCATTTAACTGCGTCCGTTATAATATCCAATTTCATAGTTGTAACATTATCCGGTATGGTCTAGTGGCTAGGATACCTGGCTCTCACCCAGGAGGCTCGGGTTCGATTCCCGGTACCGGAAAATCTTTTTGTTTAAACATGTAGTTTTCGAATCAACATTTTGATCTTCTTTTATATTGTTAAAATGTATGCCACCATAGTTAAGTATTAGCGATGATAATGTAAAATTCCAGTGATGCGACTTTTAACTTTATAACCTTACCACCAAAAACGCAAAGACTCCTTGTCTCTTATCTTGACTCTTGTGTCGGAAAAATACATCTTAAATTACACTTAAAGCCACGCTTAATCAACAAAATTGTTACGTATGTTTAGCCCTTTTTTAAGTTGTAATTACCTTGAATTATCTTATCTATTCACTGACTCGGATCAGAAGAATCATGGGACTAATGCGTCTTCTACTATCGCTTCACGTCAGGTCTTTGGAAAAAGTATGTTAGTAAAGTTTAACTTTTAAAAACGTTCATTTAGCAATTGCCATATGTCATGAAATGTTTGGAAAATCCAATAGTGCCCGCCGTATACCACTCAATTAATTTTTAAGAAAAAATACAAGTATTATTGACCTATTTGTATTGTTTTCGACTTTTGATATTAAAGAGGTAACTAGTTGATGTTATTTTGAAGGTAATAAACAAAACAAAAACGGGCCCGATACGTCTTTTTTTCGGGAGTTATCCAGAAGCCCGCGTAAAATTGTTTTCAAACATTAAAAAAAAAAGAACATAATAAAATTGTTTTTTTCGGATTGTAACATAGATTATTTAAACTGTTCATATTCATGTAAATACATCTACTCACAGTATCGTTCGAGTATAAGTGCCATTGGGTTGTGGCAGAGGCAGGCAAAGTTTCAAAAGAAAACACCATTATTTGAATATATATTGGGATATGAGATATAGGATATGCGATGAAATCTTAACAGCCATTTCGTCAATTTAACAATATTTTGAACTATCTGTTCCATAATAATTCAATTATGAGGACAATACGTGCAATCTCGCGAAAAGTAATTTGTTATAGCCTAGCGATCATTCATCGATTATAGGTTAGGAGATTCAATTCCAGCAAAGCAGAAAAAGTAATTGTGTGACTTTGTTCAGTCTTGTTCTATTATTTATTTTGCTTTAATTTGATTAAAAACAGACTGCTTGAGTCGTAAAAAGAGTAGCATCGATTTAGTAGCTCGAAAGTAAAATTAAAAACGTTTAGGTCCTGAGCAGAATCTTTTCAAACGAATAATGCCTTATACATATTTTATCTGTAGCAGGGCCAACAACAGTGTTCACTGTTGCAGGATTGGGCAGGTCCATCTGGGTAAGTACCACGACCTCACAGAAAACCGGGGTGAAGTGGAAGTGTTACACTTCTGCGTTTCGTCTGGTGAGTGAGGTAGCCGGGGCCCACTTTATTAAAAGATGGCAACGTTTTGAGACTGTTTGACCATGCATAATTATCCTAAATAAGCAGAAAAAAAATTATAACATTACAAACAATACATTTTTAACAAAAAGTTTTTCCGGTACCGGGAATCGAACCCGAGCCTCCTGGGTGAGAGCCAGGTATCCTAGCCACTAGACCATACCGGATAACGATAGACAGGTGAAATTGG